CTTAGAGCTGGACAGTGTCCTCTGGGTCCTTGCAGGACTCTGCAGTGATGGGGACCCTGTTCATCAGGCCATTCCCCTGCCTCACTGGCATCTGCTGCTGATGTCTAAGACCTGGGAACCTTGGTCTGTTCCCTGTTTGCTCCATCAGAAGCCAGGACCCCTTCCACAGGCCCCAGCTTGGCTCTCACACATGTCAGCTCCCTGGCCCTGGCTGTCCAACCCCAGGACAGCTACTTTATTGCAGTGTCACAGCAATCTTCTATGACCTATGACCCTGCTTCTGGATGCCCTCCATGCCACACAGGAGCCGGGAGGGAGCCTGGAACCCCCTTCGGCCTCCCTCAGAAGCCCCTCATCGGGGTGATTGCCCTCTGATTCTGCTGCCCCATATCATCATGAGACAGGGGGGTCAGAGATCATAGGCATCCCATGAGGCTGCTTCTCTCAGAATTTCAGTAGAAGGAGACATGAAATTTGGCTTTTGAACAGATTCATCTCTAGAAACCCTCTCTCTATGTTCACAAAATCTGTCTTTTGAGCCTTTTGTTACCCCAAAGAGCTAATAGAGTAAACTGATCAATTATGTTTTGGTTCAGGATCTACATTCACCTTCCTTGGGGTAAAATGCTTATGGTTTAGCCTAAGAAATGAAGACACAAGGGAATGCAGTTTTAATAGGAAATGAAAAGCATTGCATTTTTATTTTCAAAATAATGTCCCATTACATATACAAATACCGATGTATAAGGTGGGGAGTTTTGAGACACCACACCAGTGGGCAAGCAACTCTGATTTTCATATTACTTAAAATGTTTTGTGACCAGAGACAGACATTGCTCATAGTTGCCCAGCTTGCCCATAAGGAATTTCATTCCTTTTTTCCCTGGCCCCTGCAAAAGCTTCTCAGGATTCTCCACTGAGATCATAATCTCAGTGATCTGCTTAAGTCCCTCCCTGTCCAACACAGTGAGTATGTTTGGTGTTTGGCTGAAGTTGTGAAAATCAGAATCTCTTTGAAGAAGAGGAGCATTTTTTGGCTGCAGACTCAGCAGCACCCTTATCTTCTTAAACTCTGGTTTTAAAAACTGAATTTAAAAACCAACCTCCTTACTGCTCTTTTCATCAGTATTTCTTAGCCTTTTGGGGGCACAGACCCCTGTGAAAATCTGACAAAAACTAGTAATGGTCACCTTAGAAAAGTGTCCATGCATACCAAAGTTTGTGAACAATATCAGGGGTCCTCAGAGGCCCATCCATGCACTCCATGTCAGCCAAGATCCCAACTTGGCATTTATTGTCTCAGCTATCATTGCTACTCCCATAAAACTTGAGATTTGTCTTGATAATCTTCAGGATTCCATTCTTTAAGATTTGCTCAGTTATCATCTATCTAATTCCCCTTCCTGACAGTATCCACCTCAACCAACCAGATGAGGGCTCTTCCTCTGAGTCTCGTCAAACCCTTACATGTGTGTATGCTGTTCTCCAGTGTGTTACAATTGTCTGGTTCAATGTTCCTCTCTCCACCACACCATCAACTCCAGTAGGGCAGGAACTCTCACCTTTGAGCTCCAGTAACGCACAGTGATCAGCACATAATAGGTGCTCAACAGGTGTTTGCTGGATGTGGACTGAATCACAATAATTCTTCATAATTTCTCATGTGATAAATAGACATGAAACGTGGATAGACCATGTTAAGCAGGCTTCATCTTTTGGATTAACTATTTAGCCTTGTAAATTAGTCTTTCATGATCTGTATATTCAAGCAATAATTAGGCCAAAGCTAAATATTAATAAAAGTGAACTGAAGTTAAGATGAACTGACAGTTCCATGTATTAAAAATCTGTTGAGTAGAGTGATAAGAGAGGGTCACCAGGGCTAAATTTGTAACCAGTTGCTGACTTCATGGCTAATTCAGTGCATACCACAACAGTAGCAGAAAATCTATTTGATAGGTAAAGCCCTATTCCTTAGACTGGTGTTTAATTCTCTGCAGGCTGACCCAGATCTGGTCTCTCCGTACTACCCCGCTCCCCACTCACCACTTCTGAGCCTTGTCCCTCTAATTATGCAAGCAGCTTCATGCTCCTTGGTTCTGTTGGTCCTGCTGCTTCTACTTCAAGAATGCCTGTCCCAGCCGGGTGCAATGGCTCACACCTGTAATCCCAGCACTTTGGGAGGCCCAGGAGGGTGGATCATGAGGGCAGGAGTTCAAGACCAGCCTGGTCAAGATGGCGAAACCCCCATCTCTACTAAAAGGACAAAAAATTAGCCAGGTGTGGTGATGGGCGCCTGTAATCCCAGCTACTTGGTAGGCTGAGTCGAGAATCGCTTGAACCCGGGAGGTGGAGGTTGCAGTGAGCCAAGATCATGCCACTGCACTCCAGTCTGGGCAACAAAGCAAGACTTCATCCCCCCTAAAAAAAAGGCCCGTCCCCTGACAACATATTAAAATGTTCCTCATCTTTGAGAACCTGCTCAGAGGCCGTTCTTCCTGTGAACCATCCCCATATACCAGGCAAAGGAGTTCCCCCTTCCTAAGCATGCTAGGAGCACAGGTTACTTCACGTAAGTCCCTCATCATTGATTCTCACTTGGGACCAGAAAAGAAATAGTCACTTCTAGTAGACATTTTTCTCTTAATTATTTAGTGTTTTTTATTTCTGTGTCATCTTCTAATCACCTTTGGATAGACATCTGCCTTTAGAATTTATCCAGTTACAGACTGTCTCAAGTAAAATTAATACACAAACAAAAGATGAAAGAACCTGTCACACACCTTTTTAAAAAACAAGATATTCAGATTCTTGTTGCAAAATGTTGTGTGATGAAGTCCTTACTGTTGAATGAGTAACTGGATGAAAAGCCCATACTTCTTTTTCATCCTTATTAATATTGCTGATAATATTTACTCATCAATTCTTGAGCTTGAGAAAATTCACCTAGGACATGGTCATCTGAAGGTCCTCGGTCTGAGATTTCAATAATATAATCAATTTCACCATCATTATTATTATACAGAGAGCTGCTGTCCTCTTTGGATTCATCTTCTGAGTCATCTAATAGCTGTGAAATGTTGTTCTCTGTCAGTTTTGGAATTTTCAATTGTATGCAGTGAAAACTAAAAGCAGATTCAAAATAGTGATGGTTTATGTTTCTATTGAATCATCCTTCTAGTCAATTACAATATTCCATTTATTATGTAGTCTTTTTTTAGCATAATTGGGAATAATTGGTGAGTAACGATGAAAAGTAATTCCCTGGATGATGAAATAGCAAAATAACAAAATGTTTCAAAAGATGGGAAAAATAAGATCACAAAGATCCCATTATGTATCTTAGATTTATAAAAAGGTCCAGTGAACCCATATGGCAATTGCAAAATATAATGAGTTATATTTTATTTTAAAAATAAGTAAATTTTCTTCTTGTTCTTCAGAAGCCCTCTAAGAGAATAAAAGTTATAAAATGTCAAACCCTATAAAAAGATAGAAGAACTCCGAGAGGAAACTTAAAAAGTAAAATTGGGTTCAGTGACCCTGATCGTATGCCATATTATGTACATATGAACACTTCAGTACACATCTGTCTAACTGAAGGCAAGAATAGAGTAACAGTCACACTCTCTATGTCTTCCTGGAGTTTCCCAGGCCTGGTAAGGGCTTTACTCACAGAAGGACTTTAGGAGATACTCAGCAAGTGGAGAGTTGGAGCAGATGATATAACTGTTAAGGGAATGTCAGACAATATTCCTTACATATGTATGTGCAAGGTCCTTGCACCATCTCAAAATCTTGGCCCTTTGCTTAGAATGTTGTTCTTCCCTCTCCTCTTTTTAGCTGGGTGACTGTTAACTTTGAATCTCAACTCAGAGTCCTTTCTGCAGGGAACCCTTCCCTCATCCTCAACCCTTCCCATCAAGTGCTTATTTATGGGCTGTGAAAATCCCTTCCCTTCCCCACATCCCAGCCACACACATCATCTCTGCACTGAACCACCATGAAAAGTTAGTACTCATTAGCCAACCTCTCCTCCTCTCCATTTCCACCCTATTGGTTACTGGTTACAAAAATACAGTTAGATAGAAGGAATGGGTTCTGGTGTTAGATAGCACAGGAGGAGGACTATAGTTAACAAGAATCTATTGTATATTTGGGCCGGGCATCGTGGCATGTGTCTGTAGTCCCAGCTACTTGGAAAGCCAAGGCAAGGAGAACTGCTTCAGCCCAGGAGCTCTGGGCTGTGGTGCGCTGTGCTGGTTGGTTGTCCGTACTAAGTTTGGCATCAATATGGTGACCTCCTGGGAGCCAGATTGCCTGAGGAGGGGTGAACCAGCCCAAATTGGAAACAGAGCAGATCCAAGCCCCCATGCTAATCAGTGATGGGATTACATCTGTGACTAGTACTGCACTCCAGCTTGGGCAATACAGTGAGACCCTATCTCTAAAAATAATAATTTATTGTGTATCTGAAATGTTTTCAACACAAAGAAATGATAAATGTTTGAGGTGATAGATATCTTAATTATCCTGATTTGATCATTATACAATGTAGGCATGTATCAGACATCACATGTACCCCATAAATATGTACAATTATCAGGTATCAATCTTTAAAAATGAATATGGGAAGTCTGAGTGTGTCTCCTTCATTATAGGGCTGGCCCAACAAGGGCTGGTCGGGTTCTCCCAGCATCCTCTGTACCGGCACAGGGCTGCCCATGGTGGGAGCTCAAAGAGTAGTCCCTGAATGAAAAAAAAAAAAATGAATTCAAACTCTTTTCTGAGTAAAGAAGCTTGCCTTCTCAAATTCATGCATTTGAGAAAGTAAAGGTAAAAAGTAAAAGTCCATCTGAAGAGAAAGCAGACCAGGTAAGAAAGCTGTTACTTTCCTGGACTGCATGTTCCTGTGCTCCTTTATTCAGGGGTTACTGGGAACAAGAAGTAACATGACTGCGGCAGAGGGCTCCTGGTCTCATGATTCTGCTTTCATTTAGGTGTCGGGTGATTTATCAGAGACAGACATCAGCAATGAGGCTCAGGACCCTCGGACTCCCACAGACAGCACAGAGGAGAAACGGAGAAATAGGCTGTACGAGTTAGCAATGAAAATGAGTGAAAAGGAGACTTCTTCAGGGGAAGACCAGGAGTCTGAGCCCAAGACAGAATCTGAGAACCAGAAGGAAAGTCTGTCCTCTGAAGACAACAGCCAGAGCGTCCAGGAAGAGCTGAAGAAGGTAAGGGCTGTGAAGCCACCTGCAGACAGCTCAAGCTTCTGCAGTGGGGTATTGGAGAAAGATTCTATACTGGTGCAGAGATGTGCTGGGTCCCCAAAGAGCTGTCTAAAATGCCATCCCTATGCACTGAGGAGAGCCTAAGAGAACCCTTCTTAATTTGCACTGGATAGTACAATCAGGAAAACAGCACCATGGAAGTTTCCCAAGAACTCTTGGCTTCTACTGTCTTTCATCAAGACAATCCCTTGGCTTTGAGTCTATGATTGAGTACCCCTTATCCCTCTCATGGGTAAAAAACAGTGTTATTTCCTGCTCTACCCTCTTTCTGAAGAATTTTGCCCATGGATTGAGGTCATCTAGCCAGCCCCTCTTTTAATCAATGATGAAGCTCTGTTCCACGCCATCGAGCCTTTGTGATCAAAGTGGCCTTCTGGATTGTTTCTCTCTGCAGTTTTCAGATTTTGGTTTGTTTGTGGTTTGCTTGTTTTAGCCTCGGAATCCTTTTCCAAACAATCTTTACATGGAATCCCAGTGTTTCACGCAGATAAAAGTATTGCCGTCTTAGGGTCCCCAAAGCCCTAACCACTGATTTTTCAGACCCACACTGCTCTTCCCCTTTTCCTACCCCCAGGAGGCCCCTGAGTTCCAAAGGACACAGTTTGAAAACCACAAAAGATAAACCCAACCTCTGGCAAAAAAGAATCCCACACTCCCTCCCCATAGTCAGTGCTCTGCTCACTGTCCCCCAGCACTGGGGTTCCCTTTACAGCTTCTCAAAGCACATTTATGCTAGACTCCCCACTTTAGAGTCAGGATATCCCTGCCCGCCTCCAGTGGAAGGGAACACACTAATGTTCATTAAGTGTCTCTGTGCGTGTGCCTGTACACATGTTCATTAGGGCCTTAAATAACCCTTTGAAATAGAAGCAGCCTATTTTTCAGAAGAGGAAACAGACTGGGTCATTGAAGTCCTTACCCAAAGCCCACCACTAGTAAGCTTCAGAGGTGAGGCTGCATCACAAACCTGCTTGGCCTTAAATCACAGGCCCCTTCCTTTACAATGAGCCAAAGATTCTATTTTATTTTCAGAGTGATGATTCTGTTAACAAAAGCCTCCCCCGGTGTTTTCTGTGCCTGAGTGTGTACTATGTAAACTAACAAGTTGCTAGTATCGCACATGCATGGGTGGAGGATCTGCCTTCATCTGCTCAGCAGCCAAGTTGGGGTCCTGCGGAGGAGTAAGTGGGGACCATCACCCATGGCTGAGCCCCTGAACCCCCTGACACCTCAGACTCTTGTTTTTCACTTTTCTCATCCCACCCTCCATAACTGTCAGGTTCTTACCCATAAATCTTTCCTTGGCTTGTCTGTAAGCTGGAAAGTGGAGCTTGGTCTCCACAAGGAGCCCCTCACTGGGATATGGACTCCAACCTATTGCAAATGGTAAAGGGCTCTGATCCTCTCTGTTACTTGAACTGATGCCGCATTATATTCAGATTTGTATGCTGGACCTTAGAGCCAGATGGTAACTAGAGAATATCACATTCTTCCTTACAATGACTCTATCTCCTACTGGCTTTGCTGCCCCAAAGCTCTAAAAACTCTCACTGTACCAGTGGCATGTCAGGCTGTGAGTCATGCACCCTCACTCTTCATCAGTCTGCAAGGAGAAACCTGGAGGCACAGCCACCAATCTCCGCCATTCTTCCCTGGGCAGAATGTGAGCAGAGAAAGGAGGAGCTAACGGGGGGACATCCTGGGGACTTGGACAAGTGCCCCCATCCTGCACCTGCCCTCATCAGACAGGAATAAAGAGGGCTGACTTTATTCAGATTCCCAAATGTGTCAGCTTCTCAAAGTTCAAGTCTTGCCTTCGTAGTCTACCATGAATCAATGAATTAAATATTCAAATATACACCATCCTTCTGCATGTAAAAGTCCACATAGCCAAATATGTATATATTTATTTCCCTATCAGGCAGGTACTACTGTAGTTAAGGAAAAACAGATATGTAGGGTTAAATATTGAATATTATTTAAAAACAGAAAAGTGTTGAGATAAGTTTTAGGATTAGACTGAGTTTAAAGCATAACCAGCCAGGGGAAGTGGCTCATGCCCATCATCCCAATAGTTTGGGAGGCCAAGGCAGGTAGATTGCTTGAGCCCAGGAGTTTCAGACCAGCCTGGGCAACATGGCAAAAACCCATCTTTACTAAAAATACAAAAAATTATCCAGGCTTGGTGATATGCACCGGTAGTCTCAGCTACTTAGGAGGCTGAAGTGGGAGGATCACTTGAGCCTGGGAGGTTGAGGCTCATCACTGCACCCCCGCCTGGGTGACGGAGTGAGACCCTGTCTCAAGTAAGTAAGTAAATAAATAAATAAACATGTTAGCCAGGCATGGTGCCTCAGGTCTGTGTTCCCAGCTACTTGAGAGGCTGAGGTGAGACGATGACTTGAACCCAGGAGGTTGAGGCTGCAATGAGCCATTTTTGCACCACAGCACTCCAGCATGGGCAACAACAGAGCGAAACCCTGTCTCAGAAGAAAAAAAAGGAAGAAGAGAAAGAAACACAACTGGGCAGTTTGCAAACTCTGCGGCCCTGGTTAACAGCTTAACTCACTGCTACTACTTAGAACATGAGGGTTCATTTCTGCCTGCTAACTCTACCTCACCTCCTAACTGGCCTCCTGACCCGCCAGGCCTGTCTCGGCCCTTCCAGCTCTTTCTCCACTCAGTGGCCAGGCCCCTGTGGTTCCTGCACTTGCTCACAGCCTGTCAACAGGCCCAAGTCTGTCTTGTTTTTCAGTTGATTCCTAGGACCCCGTCCAGGTTTTCACTGTTGATTGAATAAACACATCTTGGCCTGGTTTGTAAAATGGGGATAATCATACGCCCTAAGAGGGCTGTAAAGGAATGAATTATGTAATGTAGGGTTTAGCACATAGCAGGAGCCCAGCAAATCTTAATTATTTAAGATTTTAAGGAAATTATTTAAGATTTAAGTTTAAGGAAAATAAACTTCACTGTCATGAAATACCATCCATCTGCTGGTGCTGAAGGAACAGCTTAGTGCTGATTCCCAATCAACACCTGCAGTGTCAAGCTGTGGGTCTGTAACTGCATTTGGTGCTCCTTGATTCTATGCAGAGTGTAACTGTAGAAATCACCACATCAGGCCCCTAGGTTACCATCTTCAAGATCAGAGTTAATTGTGATGTCCCCATGACCCCCAACACCACTAGTTTGAACAACACACACACACACACACACACACACACACACACACTCACACACCCTGTTTGGGGATTAGATGTAGAGTAATACGACTATTCCAGAAGCTGGCACTGCCCCACCCTGGTTTCTTAACCATGGTAGTGCACACTGGCCCAAAGACCAACTACCCAAGGGCCTTCTCTTAGTAGCAGGAGTACCTCTTCCTGTGCAGAAGACTAGCTTGAAGTGCCACAGAAATACCACTCTCAGGAGTGGCGCTAACCAGTGACTGATGAGAAGGGTGTAAATATCCCAGCTCCCTTGCTTTGGTTGGGATGGTGACTCTGAGGCTTGAGCCATGCACTGACTCCATCAGCATATGCAGCTCAAGGCACCCATAGTGATAAACTACTTGGTAAACTACACGATAAGGCAGTCTTCACTATTGACTCTCTTCCCTTTCCTGTCTCACTTCCCCACTCTTCTGCCACTGTTTTTTGGGATAGCCTCCCACATAAGCCATGTGCACCCCAATTGTTATCTCAGGGTCATCGTCTGGGGGAGCCGGACAAACAGAAAAAAATGCAGCATCCCCAAATCACAGATACTCACTTCGGTGTTGTGAATAAGCAGTGAGGAAGTTCAACCACCAAACTGGCTGCTGATAGGCCTTATCTCACCAAGAGGAGGCTTGCCTCATACAGACAGGGACCTCAGCCAAGACCTCCACCACTGTCCCTGCTGTTTGGGAGCCAAGGCAGAGGAATGTGTGTATGCCCATGGACACAGTGACATCAATGGCAGATCAGTATCCTCAGTATAACAGGAGCTACCGAATCCTGTCCAGGAGCAGCAGACTCATTTTAAAAACATAGTTTTTCCTGATGGGATTCAAACCTTTGCTGTAGGCAAACATATCCCTACAGTTGGATTGAATGTCTTCCTTTGGCTAGATGCTGGGGCCCGGATGGGCACTGCCACCTGAATTTAACCAGCTGAAGAATGAGCTTGGGGCCAGATCAAAACTTCTTAGAAACTGGATTCCCAAAGGGTTGTTTCTTCTCTAAGTAATAACTTAGTTCCCCCAGACCTCAGTGGTCAGCCTTCCAAACCACGTGGTCCTCAAAGCCTGGGAATGAGCACTTGTTTCTCCCCATCCACTGAGCAGCCACACCAATGGCACTAGCCATGCCAGTGGTTCTGGAAGAGTCCTGGCTGACGTGGTTCCTTTTTTAGCCTCCAGAGACGCAGCTGATGCCCTCCTAAAGACAGATGCAAAGGAGGACTAAGGACTCCTGGCCTGAATTTGGAGACTACATTTGGGGCCAAGTCTACCCTAAAACCCCTAATTTTTCCAGGCCTGGAGCAGCAGTCCCCATGGTCCCTTCTGGCTCCAAAATTCCGAAGTTCTAGATATGCAGTAGAATAATAGGTTTTTGCTTTTTTTTTTAATTGCATTTTAGGTTTTGGGGTACATGTGAAGAACATGCAAGATTCTTGCATAGGTACACACATGGCAGTGTGATTTGCTGCCTTCCTCCCCATCACCTATATCTGGCATTTCTCCCCAAGCTATCTCTCCCCAACTCCCCACTCCCTGCTGTCCCTCCCCTAGCTCCCCCCAACAGACCCCAGTGTGTGATGCTCCCCTCCCTGTTTCCATGTGTTCTCATTGTTCAACACCCACCTATGAGTGAGAACATGCAGTGTTTGATTTTCTGTTCTTGTGTCAACTTGCTGAGAATGATGGTTTCCAGGTCCATCCAAGTCCCTACAAAGGA